GCCCGCGGCGGGCTTCTCAGGCTGTCCGTTTTCACTGGAGCTGACAGTCTCATCATTCGCCCTCGGGCAGGCTGGTGGGTTTGAACCTCTAGCCCAGTCCCAAGCGCCATTTTGCTTTTCTGCAGAGGTTGTTGGTGGTGGTCCAGGGAGAGGTGGCTGAGTGTGGGGATTCCCTGCTGTCCTGTGCAGCTGGAATGGGGGCAGAGGGATGAACCTCTTGGGGAGGTGTCTGTGTGCAGGCCAGTCCGAGGTGAGGGCCCAAGGGTGTGGCTGACCTCAACTCTTCCCACCTGACTGTCTTTCAGCTGACCACAGCGAGGGGTCCAGTTCTGAGGACGATGGCGAGGACCAGACAGTGAAGACCAAGAGGAACCGGTGAGTGAGTGGCCGTGTCGCTCAGGCACCTCCTGGGTATCCCCCTCACCCCTAAGCATCACCTGAGCATCACCTCACGATGGTCACTGTGGTTTGTCTGTGGGGTCTCAGGACCTGCCCTGGGTCCCCAAGCAGGAGTCCAGGGTCTGGGCGCCCTGTGTGGTGACCAGGCTTGGCCCCGCTGATCCCTGCAGAGGCTGCGGCTCTGATTGAGAGCTGGGAGCCGGCAGGTGGCAGAGCTGCCCGTGGCTGGCGTGGGTTCTCATCTGTGAAATGGGGGCAGAGCTTCCAAGCGCCTTCCTGCCTGGAGGGGAGCCAATGTTGAGGACAGAGGAGGCAGCCCCCATGGGTGTCTGAGTCTGCCATCTTCATGGAAGCAGACAGCCTCCGCTTCCTCCTAATGAGCAGTGACTGGGCTCGAACCGCCAGCCTTTAGGTTAGCACACAGTGCTTTTTTGCACATCCTTATGTGATGTGTAAAAATGATGGGTATAGATGCAATGATAACAAGCCCTCAGGGCATTAGGGGCTACCCGTTGAACTGCTAACCGCATGGGCAGCAGTTCGAAACTTCCAGCTGCTCCAAGGGAGAAAGACGAGGCTTTCCACCCCTGTGAAGAGTGACAGACTGGGAAAGTCCCGGGGGCAGTTCCACCCTGTCCTGTAGCGTCGCTGGGAGTGGGCACTGGCTCAATGGCAGGGAGGTGGATATATGTGGATGAGAGGCTCAAAGGTGCACGTAAAAGTTCCATGACCTTTCATTCCATTGTCAACCAGCTTTTGAGTCCCCTTCATGCCCTGCGCGTGTGGATTTAATTTACAAATTCCAAAGCCGCATTGTTGTAGGGGGGCATGGCGAGTGGGAACCGCCAGTCTGAACCAAGCGACGGTATTTGATTGACAGATGCATTGGCTGAGACACAGTGAAGGAGGTGGTGGGCTGTACAGGGGAAGCCTTGGCTACCTCTCAGCCCTGGATGTCTGACCACGTACTCCGATTCCATTGGGCTCCTGATCCTGTCGTACTGCCCTTCGTCGGCAGCAGCTGCCCACTGCTGCCCACCAAGGACACTGCCTGGCGACCACTGTCTGAATGGCCCATTGTGGGGCAGGGACCCCAAACAGACGTGGTGTTTCATGGTGCACGCCCCCTGAACGGCCCCTCGGCTCTCATGTGGGCAGCTGTGCTTCCTGGAGAGACAGAGAGAGTGAGAGCGAGAGAGATGGGGGAGTGAGCATGTGAAATGTGTGTGTGTCACATGCTCATCACGCCCCTGGGCAGGTGGAGTGAGCGATGTACCCAAACCTCGTCTGTTGGTTTGGATCTCCCCATGCCCAGCAGTGCCCAACGTCACTGTGCAAGTCAGCCCTCCCTGCCACCCACTGCGTGGTCCCCACAGTCAGAGGTAAGCCTCCTGCGTGGGTGACCGGCCAGGGGCCTCTCCATCCTTCTTTGCCAAAGGGTATTATCGAGCTGCTCCCATTGCCCGCTGCCTGTGAGCGCTGCGCTACATTCTGCGTAATGGACTCTGGCATGTGGACTGAAAGCTCAGGGCCCCCGCGGGCCACTGGACTCAGTCAAAGTGTGACCTATCTTTCTGGCAGAAATAAGACCGTCTTTCCTCCTCTGGAAGCAGTTACAACCCGCCTGCGTGGAGGGCCTGTCCGCAGTCACATCCAGGTGGGCAGGGAACCAGACAGGAGGAAAGACCCAGCATGGTCCCCAGGGCCACAGCTCCCTGCCCCGGACACCAAACTCAACTGTGCAAACTGCTGCAGCCCAAGTGACCCTGAGGCCAATCTGGCCGGG